TGATAGGCCCCCGCAGTTTGGACCCCCAATCCCTGGAAAGGGATACGAAGTTGAGAGCATCGAAGATCAGTGGGGCACAAGCCCCAACTGTGAATACCTTGTGAAGTTCCTTTTCCAACCTCACACAGAGGACCGATGGTTCCCAAGGAAGGAACTTCTCAAGTCTGCAAATTCAGTTGTACACGCCTATGAGGCTGAACAGAAGAGGCAACCTCTCAGACGTTCTCCTCGTGGACACTCCTAGCTCGGGGTCCTCGCTCCCCAGGAGGGTAGGAATGCAATGAATTGCAGGGAGATGCGGGCTGTACACTAATTTTGTTGTTGCCTGTTTTGTGCTTTCTGGGATTCGAACTCGTGACTTGTAGTGTGTTTGTAGTGTGTGACTGTTTATGAGGTTTATTGGGCTTGAACCTTGAACCTGTCGCTAGTAGTCTCTACTTCGTAGTCTTAGGCCACTTAGCCTTGTTGTTTTGTCCTTTTCTGCCCTTCTGGAAACTGGTAGGCCCGTAGGTATTTCTTTGTGTGTCCTAGCCTTGGGTTCCCTTAGTCTAGGATTCCATCTAGATGCATATAGGTAGATCTTGACTGTTGGGCCGTAGATGTTTTCTGTTTGGACGGTCAGATAGGTCTGCAGGTGGTTATTGTGTTGTAGGTCTAAGGAAGCCGGGTAGAAGTAGGCAGGGGCCGACGAATTTCGGGTTCTGCTTCGTCATTTTTTTTCACAAAGTGTTGCTGGAGGTCGCGGCTGGAGCTGCGCTAAGTCAAAGTGCCCGTTCGTCTTCCTTATTGAAGGGAAGTTGACGGCCATAACTGGGCTTACCTGGCTGGTGCGGAATTGGCCTAGGGACATCAGGCCCTGCTCTGCGTGGTGCTTCCTCCATAGCTGTCCTATTGGGGTTTTGACAGCTGCCATCGAAGCAGCTTCTCTATGCCTGCTTCGAAGTGGCAGATCTTCATCTTCATCGATTTGCTGCTCTTCTTCATCATCCTGGGAGTTGCGCTCCCCTGCTGAGTGGACACTTCATCTGCAGTGGTGCAGAGGGGTGTTGGATTTAGGAGGGTGTGTGGCGATTGGCAGGCTTGATAGGTTAGGTGCCCGCAGGCACCATAGCTAGAGCTTAAGGAAGAGGGAGGAAGAAGAAGACTCCCAAAGTATTCGATGAAATCTTGTAAATAATTGGTCCATGGGTATTGATAACGTGGTTGGGATTCTTGGAACAAGTATTCTGGATTGATTGGAGGAGGATGAGGGATTACAGAATTGAAATTCGTTTTTCAATTCTCTGTGTATTTTGAGCTTCCGCTGTGCATATCTCCTCTTTGGTTTTGTGTGGATTTGCCTCCTTCGAGTCTACTCTGAAATTGCATGCTATGGGGAACGTGTGAATTCGTTGTGGATTGAAGTTCAATCGGGTATATAACAGATAGATAGATAGATAGATAGATAGATAGATAGATAGATAGATAGATAGATAGGTTGATAGATTGATTGATAGATTGATTGATAGATAGATTGATAGATAGATAGATAGATAGATAGATAGATTGATTGATTGATTGATTGATAGATAGGTTGATAGATAGATAGATTGATAGATAGATAGATAGATAGATAGATAGATAGATAGATAGATAGATAGATTGATAGATAAATAGATTGATTGATAGATTGATAGATTGATAGATAGATAGATAGATAGATAGATTGATAGATAGATTGATAGATTGATAGATTGATAGATAGATTGATAGAGAGATTGATAGATAGAGAGATTGAGAGATAGATAGATTGAGAGATTGAGAGATTGAGAGATTGAGAGATAGATAGATAGATTGAGAGATAGATAGATAGATAGATAGATAGATAGATAGATAGA